CAAATCTCTGACACTAACATGACTGCATGACCTGGGAGTAAAGTATGGTGAAGCATGTCAATGCTGGGATAGGAGACATAACCAACTCCTCATGGAAAAAACCACGGAGATGCTGCTGCATCAGAGGACAGATCATGTGCATGGGAATTCCTAATGGGCAGTGATGTTGACTGTGATTAACATATTGCTTGAGTTATTGAAAATTGTATATTGGTCACCATTTCATATGTACAAGTGAAAATAAAGATATCAATTGTAAGTCAACAAATGGAATCTTGTGTTTCTTGTTTGTTTTTTTTTTTTTTTAATCATCCGGTTAGTATCGTATATTTGACTTTTCAGAAAAGACAAACAGAGGTAGGGCCCTTACCAGCATAGGACTGCAGATTACTCCTGGCTGGTGTAACCATTACGAGTGCCCTAATTTTGACTGCTATGGAGGTTGAACAAGGAATCTGGGATCTGCCATGTTGCTCTGCCATCTGCTTCGTCATCTTTTGTCGCCTCACTGATACCAGGTTGTAGCCAAGTGTCATGGTTTTGTCGTCTCACTGATTAACCACGTTGTAGCCCAGTGTCGGGATTTTGTTGTCTCATTGATACCAGGTTGTAGCCCAGTGTCAGGGTTTTGTCACCTCACTGATACCAGGTTGTAGCCCAGTGTCAGGGTTTTGGTGCCTCACTGTTACCAGGTTGTAGCCCAGTGTCGGGGTTTTGTCGTCTCACTGTTACCGGGTTGTAGCCCAGTGCCGGGGTTTTGTCGTCTCACTGTTACCGGGTTGTAGCCCAGTGTCGGGGTTTTGTCGTCTCACTGTTACCGGGTTGTAGCCCAGTGTCGTGATTTTGTCACCTCACTGATACCAGGTTGTAGCCCAGTGTCGGGGTTTTGTCGCCTCACTGTTACCAGGTTGTAGCCCAATGTCGTGGTTTTCTGTATCGGTCTTGCGCTTCCCGGGTGACTTGGATGGTGGATTTGTTCCATCTTTTTTGTTGCAGGTTTCTGCTACATCATTTATCCATCTCTTTCTTTGTCTTCCTCCCAGATGTTCTACTGTAAAAAGTCTCCTATGCAGTTTGGTCTGGCTGCATTCTCACTAGATGGCTAAACTATTTCATTCTTTGTCTGTCAATACAATCCAGACATGGTCTTATTCCAACTTTCTCTCTAATGCTGGTAATGGTAACCCTGTCTCTTCTTGTGTCTGCTGTCCAGGCTGAGATTTTTAAATCTCAAGATGGTATGGTAAACTTTTAGGTAGCAACCTGGAGGGGACAAACCAATCGGTCAATCAAAACCATAAACAGGGGTGGCTGCAGTCATGCTGATATCCAGAAATAACTAAAGTTTTTGGGAAAATGTCTGTCTTTCCTGTTTCATTGTGCTAGCCCAGTGGTTCTTAACTGTCCTAATGCCGCCACCCTTTAATACAGTTTTTCATGGTGTGGTGACCCCCATCCATAAAATTATTTTTGATGCTACTTCATAACGTCAGTGACTTTGTGTTTTCCAATGGTCTTGGGCGATCTCCCAGAAGGGTTGAGACTGGCTGTGCTAGAGGGAGGCATATGAATCACAGACCATGGTGAAGGCGAGTGTGTGCTTTACAAGACCTGCTCGCAAGGAGAATCTTTCACAATAAATGCAAGGTATTCCAGGACCACTCTTGCCATCACATTATTTAAACAGCATTAAAAGTCTATGGTTAAGCAAGAGCAAGGATATTCAAATTTTGAGAGCATGCATCTTCCCTGTAGCAACATAGGGAAGTGAGTCGTGCACTATCTCCCAGTCCTTCAGAGCTGAAATGCTATAGACAAAGAAGAGAAAAAATATTGACTCCAAAATATCTGAACATCAAGAAAGACTGGCTAATAAACAGCATCTTGTCTCAGAAGCTGAAATATTTTGGTCATATCAAGCACCACTGGCAGATTGAGAAAAAAAAATCCCCCGTGTGGGTTCCGGGGCCCCATTGTAAGGGAAAACAAGAATAGACTCACTGCCTACCCAAAAGCATGTCGTAAGAGTCGACTAATTGGGGAGCTTCCTTTGAAGTCGGAGTGCATCTGCCGGAGAGGCAAGGAACCAACAGTCTGTATTCAAGAGAATGAGATCTGTAAAACTGATGCACACGCAACACTCAGGTTCTGGAGCAGGACTGCAGTTCAGTAGTGGACGAACAACCAGAACTTTCCGCCAAAGTGTACAGCTGGTGAACGTGAAGAAGAAAAAGAAAAAAAATAATACCAGAAGCCATGGTACCAGGAAGAAGGGGCAGGGACCAATCAACATAAAGATGGGCACAGGATGTAAGTGACTCCTTGAATATGAAAGTACATGAGGCGGGAGAGCTGGCAAGAAACCGAATTTCTTTCAGGCAGATCGTGATGAGAGCGACATTCTGCAAAGGACCTGCTACTTGATTATGATGCCATCGCATGTTTTCTGACATATATTTTCTCAAAGGCCCAGCCCTTAACCTGTCTGCAATCCTTTTCTCCTTTGTCCCTATTCCATGCCTTATTTTGTCCCCTCCATGCAGTGTGGTGATTCATGGCATCATGTTTCCATCTATCCACCTCAATACCTGTATCAATCATTTCCCACTAGGAAATTACTAAACAACATAAAATATGACTAAATAGCTCAATGGAGGAAAGAAAAATCACACATAAATCCAATTGGATATTTGTTTGACTAGCCTCGTCACCGGACAAAACAGCAGCCTAATTAAATAACCAACAAGGTCAGTATGAATCTAGAAAAGCTAAATAGGAGAAAATATAGTTTGTTTCGTAAAAAGCTTTTGACCATATTTTCCAGTAGCGTAGCAGCTGGTAGGATCTCCCATGTTGGACAGGTAAAGGTTTTGGAGCCAAATGAAAAGAAGTACAAACCTGCTGTAGGTAAACTGGGACACTCAAAGGCTTGGGGAGGGGGGCTCCGGGGTGAAGCGATGAAGCCTTTTGCCTCGCGCTCTGAAGGTTGTGGGTTTGTTTTAAGGCTGCACCCTTTACTTCACGAGGGCAATTTTTATGGAGATCTTTGGGGATCATCATGGGAGCTACAGAGTTCATGTTCTGTGCGGCTCTCTTGGCAGGCGGCCAGGCGTTTTGCAGAGAGAGACCGAGCCATATGGGATCAAACCCGGTGCAATGAGGTAAATCCACTCAACATTAACCTTCAACTCAAAGGCTAAGAATAATAAACCCGGTAATCATACTCATCAAAATCGACGTCCACAAGCCTGACGAAACAGTGCTTATTTATGATGATGTTATACAATCAATCTGCTGATTGTGCCTATTGATACAATCAACTTGATTTCAACATTTTGGTTTTATTCAAAACTCCATATTTAATCATTAATGCTAGAATCAAACTGCATCTGATTATTAGGTATAAGCTTTGTATTGAAAAATACATAAAAATTACATTTAAATGAATTCAGCATGACACAAAATGAAACTGCTATAACACCTCACAGCTACAAATTTTGTTGTAAAATCTGACCAGAAAAAAAACTCCATTATAACACCTCCCAGATAAAACTCTGCTCTGACATCTCACAGCTGCAATCTTCTTCTCTAGTCCTGTTCTGCCTTTCGGTTCAGCGTCAGGTTCTGAAGAGGCATCTGGTGCCAGCCTTGGTTTGTGCTACGTAAATGCTGCTATTTACAGCCTTGGATATTCCATCTATCCATTACTTGCGTGGTCGACCTCTAGATTAACTTCCACTTTGTCAAAGTGACAGGGTTCTCTGTGGTGCACTATCTAGTGGCAGTCTTGACACATGTCTGAACCATTTGATCTGTTGTCTCTTGACATAGTTTTTGTTGTTTGCGTTCACTGGCTGTAAACCCCGACGGAAAGACCTGGTTGTTTGTCTATTTCTGGACTTCGGCCTTGTTCCAGGGCCCGAGTTTTGCATGTGCATCCATTTTACAAATCCTGCTTATTTATATGCAGACTGTTGGTTCCTTCAACTTTGAAGGAAGTCCCCAGTTAGTCGCCTCTCACGATGTGTCTATTCTTGTTTCGCTCACAATGGCTCCCGGAACCCACATAGGGTTCACGGTGTAGTTTAGAATTAGTTCTCTGAAAGGCTGGCTGGGCTTATCCCAGTTTAAGGGAATTTTTAACCGCATGGATCCCATCCCACCTGGCGAGCCAGAGTCATGTTCGCTACAATCTCTGCTGCTATACACTGTGTAACAGCAGACTGCTACAAACTCATTGAGAAATTCCTCATTATAAACCTTAAATTGCCAGGACAATTTTAGTCTGAACGACTCAACTCCAACGACAGCCAAGATTTTTCAGTCGCTAGATGGTTACCAGCTAGCACGAAGTTCTGGGATTCAACTCTTCCATAAAGGAGGTACATTGTATAACCGACTTTGGCTCCCAAGTCGCACCCACTCTGCAAAAGGTGTCCTTTACTCACACCATTGGGCGCAGCACAGAGCAAAAAAGGGTTCCTTTATCTTACTCGCAGCACAGAGCAAAAAAGGGTTCCTTTATCTGACTCGCAGCACAGGGCAAAAAAGGGTTCCTTTATCTGACTCAATGGGCAAAAATGGTACCTTATCTTACTCGCAGCACTGGGCAAAAATGGTACCTTATCTTACTCGCAGCACTGGGCAAAAATGGTACCTTATCTTACTCGCAGCACTGGGCAAAAATGGTACCTTATCTTACTCGCAGCACTGGGCAAAAATGGTACCTTATCTTACTCGCAGCACTGGGCAAAAATGGTACCTTATCTTACTCGCAGCACTGGGCAAAAAAGGACCTTTATCTTACGCACTGGGCAAAAAGGGTCCTTTTTCTTGCGGCACTGGGCACAAAGGGTTCCTTATCTTACTCGCAACACTGGGAAAAAAAATGTCCTTTATCTTACTCACTGGGCAAAAAAGGTCCTTTTTCTTACTAGCGGCACTGGCCAAAAAGGGTCCTTTATTTTACTCGCAGCACAGGAGCAAAAAGGGTTCTCTACTTACTCAATCTCATCAAATGTTAAATATCGTATAATCTTAGGAGGTAAAGGTAACTCAACAATATGTTCATCTTTATTTGGTGGAATGGACCTTCTTATAACTATACGACACTGAAACTGCAAGTCTGGTGGATTGGCTGCCATATATACCAGCAATTCCAGCGTAGCTTTTAATTCAACACTCATCGGTTCCGTCAACCAGTTTGTCATATTTGTACCACTTAAGTGACCTTGCGACAGTTTGCTGCCGGCTGCAATTAGCAGCCGCATAGTTTGAAGATGCCTTTTCTTAGGCTCCAGTAACCCGTTCTGAAAAAAATCCACTAACTTTATCAGTGGAGAGCAGCCAAGGTGATCTCTAACATTCGCGTCTGCTCCATAGGCCAGTAGAAGTTTAATTTTGGCTGTGTCTGATTTATCGCAGGCTAGATGCAGAAGTGGGGCTGCGTGAATATTGGCACCGCTCCTCAGGAGAAGTCGAGCAATATTGGTACTGGATTGAGGGGCGTAAAGTGCCGAATGTAGAGGTGTCATGTTCATGAAGTTGAGTTCGTTCACATCTGCTCCACTCTCTAAAAGTGTCTGAGGATGATATTTATATAACTGTCTAAATAGGCGTTGGAAGAAATTTTTTTGTAGAGCGCTAAATGAGAGTGAGAATATTTATATAAACAGCTAAAAAAAAAAAAAAAGAGTCCGGTGAAATTTATATAAACAGCTATATAAGAGTCTGAGGATGATATTTATATAATTATATAAATGTCTGAAGATATCTATATAAAGCGCTAAATGAGAGTGAGAATATTTATATAAACAGCTAAATAAGAGTCCGATGAAATTTATATAAACAGCTACATAAGAGTCTGAGAATTATATTTATATAAACATACCAATAATTATTCTCCCCGTGTGGGTTCTGGGGCCCTACTATAGACCCACTGCCTACCCAAAAGCATGTCGTAAGAGTCGACTAATTGGGAGCTTCCTTCGAAGTCGGAGTGCATCTGCCTGAGAGGCAAGGAACCAACAGTCTGCATACAGATCTGTCAAATGGATGCACACGCAACACTCAGGTTCTGGAATAGGACTGCAGTCCAGAAGTGGACGAACAACCAGAACTTTCCACCGGAGTTTACAGCCGGTGAACACGAAGAAGAAGAAGAAGAAGAAGAAGAAGAATTATTTGAATATATTTATAGAAACTGCTCCATAAGCCTGAGGCTAATATTTCTTTAAACATCTTGAGATGGTATTTAAATAAATAGTTGAAGATATTTGTATAAACAGATAAATAAGCGTTGACAATACTAAATAAATAATCAGCTAAATAAGTCTTTGAAGATGTTTGTATTAACAACTAACAGTGTCTGATGGTGATAATTGTAAAAACTACTCAATAAGTTTTTTGGGAATGGTACAATTATCAACAGTTATGTGAACAAAGAAGAAGCAGAGACAGGAACTGGAGAAGGGGGATAAGACTGGTAAAGAAGAAGAAGGACCATGAGAAAAAGAAGAGATCAAGAAAATAGAAAGGAAGATTTGGAAGGAGAAGGAAGTCTACCAAATTACAATAGAGAAGTTCTATGTGTAGCTGTTACATGTACTCTAATTATCACTTTTTCAGAGGTTGAAGAAGGTATCTGGGATTTCCTCTGTTGAACTAGCATCTAGAATGTGACTCTTTTAGTCATATAGGTATCAAACCTTTTGGAATCGTGCCGAAGGGGAGATAACAGTCCATAACTTCATATAATGTTTTCCCGTGTGGGTTGCGGGGCCCCATGGGGGGGGGGGGGTGAATATATTTATCAATAAACTACTTTCTTCTTCTGAGATTGCTCTTAAAAGGGCATTTGGCCTGTGGTTTACAGCTAGACTATGATATCTGTATTTATTAGCCCAACATTTTTAATTTCAGCAAATTGTTAACTCTTTCAGTGCCAATAAATGCATTATACGTTCATAGGTTCCTGCCTAGAAGCCCCATGAACACAGGATGCACGGATTTTACTTCTCTCTTTACTATCCCTTGGGCCTCTGATGCTAAAACCCCTAGGACTGAAAGAGTTAATTAACTGCCATTTATGACTTGCTTAATAAGAAGCAGCGAGTCTATTCTTTCCCCTGACAATAGGGCCCTGGAACTCACACCGAGAAAGAAAAACAACCAAACAACAATCTTCTAAATATAAGTCCTAATCTTCTAAATATAAATCCTAATTTTCAAACACCTAAAACATTCAAAGACGCAGAGACTAGTTTATAAATAACAGGTCATTAGTGAATGTGAAGAAAGATATCACAGCCAACTTTATCAGTCAAAAGGTCTTCAAGATAAAAGAGGTGTACAAACTATGTCCAATGTTAAGTCAACTAATTCCTGGGATCAACTTCACAGATAGTGACTGAGCTATCAGAGATATGAATGTCAATACAGCCATTTTAAGTGTAGAAACTGGGAGTCTATCCTTTAGCAATTACAGTTGTGGATGGTTTCAGATACGAACAAATTTTACTATACACAGTTCCCCGTGTTGGATCTGGGACCTTATTAGAGGGAAAACAAGAATAGACGCACTGCCTCCCCAACTATCTTTTTCAAAGTCGGAGTGCATCTGCCTCAGAAGAAAGGAACCAACAGTCTGCATTTTAAAAAAGCCAGATCTGTAAAATGGATGTACACGCAACTCTCAGTTTCTGGAACAAGACTTAAGCACTTACGGATCTGTCTGGAGTGCTGTGATGATAATCCTTTCTAATCACTAATCACTTTTCATTTTACAACAGACCAACAAAAGAAATACCTTGATAATTGAAAAATGGCCGTACACGCAAGCAAGACTCAAGTATCCTCTCCCAGTCAAGTGCGCACCTGCGGCTATCAAAAGATTCAACAGTGCAGGAGATGAATAACCAACAGCCACCTGGACTGGACATCCTCCTAATACATTTGGGTCACTACCTGCCTTCAGGAGAACATTCACCAGGTCCGTAGAAAAGGAATAACAGGCAACAACCAAAGGAGTTTCTCCATTTCTATCTCCGAGGTTTACTGTTGCACCATTTTCAATCAGAAGTTCAACGACTGGGATGTTGGCCTGCTTGCAAGCTAGATGCAGGCTTGTATTCCCGCTAGAGTCCTATTAAATACAGCAAACACAACATTACCACTGCCATGGACTTAGCTACAGGTGTACAACAGTCTGTGTAGCATTGTTTTGAAAGGTATGTATTTGGACATCGATGTTGAATGTGACAGGGGAAGATAGGGAGAGAAACAAAGGATGGCACCAATTTATCTAGGACTGATGGCTTACGTCTGTTCCAAACGCTTTGCAGGAAGTATCAGTATAAGGGAAAGGTGAGTGTCACGGACTCAGTTTTAGGTGCACAGTGGTTTGTGTGGTTTTGCTTTAAAAGGAGTGCGTTTGCACACTGTTGTACATTCGGACGTCAGTGCTGACTGGAACAGGAAAAGGGCAGGTAGAGAAAGAAATGACAGCAACAGTTTATCAAGGACTGATGCCTTAGGTTTGTTCCGTATGTTTTGCAAGTATTTTTGAAGCTATTAAAGTCAATTCACCTTCACAGACACAGACTTCAACAAAAGTTTTCCAGTTTCTTAATTTCTTCTTCTTCTTTGCGTTCATCAGCTGTAACCGGCAGAAAGTTCTGGTTGTTTGTCCACATCTGGACTCTAATCCTGCTCCAAAACCTGAGTGTTGCGTGCACATCAATTTTACAAATCTTCTTCTTCACATTCACTGGCTGTAAATTCCAGTGGAAGGCTCTGAGTGTTTCTCCACCTCCTGACTTTAGTCCTGTTCCAGAACCTGAGTGCTGCATGTACATCTGTTTTACATATCTGACTTATCTGTAAGCAGACTGTTGGTTCCTTGCCTCTCAAGCATATGCACTCCGACTTCGAAAGGAAGCCCCCAGTTAGTCGACTCTTACAACATGCTTGTCGGGGAGGCAGTGGGTCAGTTCTTTTTTCCTCATAATGGGGCCCTGGAACCCACATGGGGATATTGCTATTCATAACTTACCAGCTCTGACATTAGCTAGAACCTAGCAGGAGGGATAGAGTTAATAAACTAAAATATTCTATGACTTACCCGTGCATCAATTTCAGCTTTAGCCTCCAGGAGTTTTCTAACCATACCTCGGTTGCCACTTGCATGATTACATGCATAATGGAGAGGTAATTTTCCATTTGAGGAGCGTTTATCAGTCCTTGCTCTATGGAACAATAAAACTGTCAGGAGATCCTCCCTTTTAAACTTGCAAGCAAGACAGAGAGGGGTTGTGGACTTGCCAACCTCTTCATCAATTACTGATGTGTCTTGGCTATTGATTCTTAAAATTGTGTCCAGCTCATTGAAATGGATGTGTTCCCAATCAATATTTTCCATTATCTATGCACACTTATAAATTCAAGAACATTTGGACCTGAAACAAAAGAAATTGCGATGGTCATTATTAGCTTCATTCTTTTTCTTCCTCCTCTGTCATCTTACTGATACCAGGTTGTCGCAGCGCTCTCTGTAAGGGATAGCCCTTCTGAGGAGAAAGATCAAGCCATATGGGATAAAATCCAGTGCAATGAAGTCAATCCTCTTAACTTTAACCTTTGACTTTTTTTAGATTGTAGCCTAGTGTCATGATTTTCTGTATTCGTCTTGTGCTTCTCGGGTGGCTGGGGTGATGGATTTGTTCACATCTTTTTTGCAGGTTTTAGCTACATCATTTATCCATCTCTTTCATGTCTTTCACTCGCCTTCCTCCCAGATGTTCTGCTGTAAAAAAAAATCTTAAATACAATTTAGTCTGGCCGCATTTTTCCTAAATGGCTGAACGATTTCATTCTTTGTCGGTCAATGTAATTCAGAACTGTATTATTTCAACTTTTTCTCTACACCATTATTCATAACCCTGTCCCTTCTAGTGTTGTGACATTCTGGAGACAGCGCATTTCACAGAAAGTTATTTTCTGTTCTAGCGCCCTATTCATTGTCTATGTCTGGAAATATAGCATAAAGTATGGATGAAGATACCCCTTCATTCTTTCTTGTATAGTAGCGGTTCCAATCTCCCTTCATTAACTCCTTCAGTTCCAAACAATGCAGCATGCATGACTGGATTTGTGCATTTGCACCAGTCAACATATTATTATACCTTTTATGCCAAGTCATTTCTTCACGCCTGTCCTTATTTAGTACCCAACAGGTGTCTTCTATTAACTTTATGCTAAAGGTAGAAGTTGTGACCTGTCAGCGAAATACAACTTCCCTATCTTGATAGCTAAATCCTTAATGGTTTTTACCATAGATTAAACACTAGTGATATGATCTAATGTTATATCATCTAATCAGTACAGTCTGCTTCGCTATGAATTTATGGACAGGCAACCCTCCCAGTTAGAAAATAAGTAACAGCTGAAATAAAACTAGAAGCGGAATGTAAATTAACGGCTGACAAGCATTATGGTTTAGTTCTGCATTGTGACGAAAACTGCAGCAAAGAGTAGCAGAAAGTGGTGAATAAATCTGAATTTTTATATAGTATGTTAATTTGTTGTGTATCATATGTTAATATGACAAACAAGAAAAGACATGATTTGAATTTATACTTATAAAGAAAAACAACGATCCTTTTAACACATTTAGCAGATCAGGCATATAATGTCAGATCTATATTTTTATGGACCGTTTTGAACTCAAAGGGTGATGAAGCCAACAACATGATAGCCACCTTTACTTCCCACGACATTGCCTGGTAGCCATTTTATGCTGAAACAACATGGCAGGCAAGGTTAATTTTGAAATAAATTGGCCTCAATATGGATAGGAACCCTGGTCCTTCAGGCTGGCATGTGAGCGACGAGCTGCTACTCACACAAACTCCCTAGATGTACGCTCATATTACAATATCCTGATTATCCTTTCTGGATTACAAATGGGATAACAAAGATAGTCCAAACTGTAGAAAATAATGAACAGGAAGTTTCTAATGATTTAAGATTAGTTTACTGTTTTATCATAAAATTGTATATAGCTTATTATGAACAGCTATGACATTTAATCATTATCAACTGAACGACTATAAATGATGGTGGTAGCAGTATTGAGCATTATGGCTTAATTTCTACACTGTAATGAAAAATGCTGAAGTCAGTTAAAGAATAAACATAGTTATGCAAATAGGAGTAGTAGTAGCAGTAGCAGCAGCAGTAGTAGTAGGTAGCTAAACAACAACAGCAGTAGTAGTGCAGCACCAGCAGTAGTGGTAGTATTAGTATAGAAGCAATAGTATTAGCAGTAGTAGCAGTATTAGTAGTACTAGTAGTAGTGCAACAACAATAGCAGCAGCAGTAGTAGTAGTAGTAGTAGTAGTAGTAGTAGTAGTAGTAGTAGTAGTAGTAGTAGTAGTAGTAGTAGTAGTAGTAGTAGTAGTAGTAGTAGTAGTAGTGCAGCAGCACATCAGCAGTAGTGGTAGTGGTAGTAGTAGTAGTAGTAGTAGTAGTAGTAGTAGTAGTAGTAGTAGTAGTAGTAGTAGTAGTAGTAGCAGCAGCAGTAGTAGTAGCAGCAGCAGCAGAAGAAGTAGCAGCAGTACAGTAGTAGTAGTACAGCAGTAGTACTAGTAGTAGTACAGTAGAAATAGTACTAGTGGTAGTAGTACTAGCAGTAGTGGTAGAAGTAGTAGTCGTACAGCAATAGCAGCAGCAACCGTTTTGGTAGATATTTGCTTACATAACGTCCTACTCCATCCTCGGAGTATTTCAATAATCAATAAATATTTTTTTTTGGGGGGGGGGGGAAATATAGCCTATATTTGCCTAGTGTACTGTATTTTAAATACTATTTATGTGTGTACTTCTGTGTGCAAACATATATCGTATGATGTATTCACTTTGTTTTATTATTAAAAATAATAATTATATGCAGGGCAGATTCTAGAATTTCAATGTCATAAGCAATAATTAACCAATGTTTCGCTTATTTTAAAAACAAAAATATTCACACTGTTAACTGGTGTCTATTCATCTTCTACTACTATCTACATTAATTTTGGGTAATGGCTAAGTATAAATTAATAAATAAAAAAAAAACTACATCAGCAGAATTACACTGATTTAACTGCCAACAATAACATGTACAATAATATACCGAAGAAAAAGCTAACCGGTTCCTAAACATCTACATTACTTAATTAATATAAAATATAATGTTCACACAATAAATACATCGTCTGCAAGGTTCTCGAAAACAATATATTGGCTTCGCAATGGAAGGAGAACTCCGCGAGATGTTGTGCCAGTTTGACGTTTACATGGTAAGACAGTTGAGCTCTCGTCCCGGGTTCGAATCCTCGGTAAGGTGATGGAGGTTTTTTTTTTTTTTTGTAGCGGCAGAAATATAAATACTGGACCCGACCAGTTTGTGGCGACTGAGCGGGCCATGTGGCCCTAAAGCCCCAAGCTCAGATCACCCCCACTCCGCCTTCTGTTCTCTGCCATCATAAGAAGTTGTAAAGACAGTTTGATGTCTGTGGCGAAGTGGTCAAACCGTTTTCCTCGTGCTCTGAAGGTCGTGGGTTCGATTCATGGCTGCATAGTTCAGCTTACGAGTGCAATATCTAATTAGATCCCTGGGGATCGGCGCCAAAGCTACCGAGTTCGTGCTCTGTGCGGAGCTCACTCTAGGCGTCCAGCCGTTCTGCGGAGAGAGACCGAGCCATATAGGATACAATTCGGTGCAATGATGTCGATCCTCTCGATTTTAACCTTTAACCTTTAAAGACAATCTGATAACCAGATAAAATAAATTATTATTATAATATCAGGGGTCAAGATTTGAAACAAAATTATTGACATTCTTCACGAACTATCTTCACGATCTAAACTTGCTAATAAACAGTATCTTTAAGGTCTTATTCACGTTTCCCGGCCCATCTTTCATCTATCCCTTCTCATACTGTTCTACGTCAGAAAGGTGTCACGTTGTCTTCCCTCCAATTACATCAGCGCCGGTGTCGCCTGTTCTATAGTATACGATCAGACAGCTTTTAACGACCCCAGAACATTTAGAACTGGCCCTAACCCAAACCCCCACCCGCAGCCTGAGCCTAGATCCCACGAGAGACTCTTTTAGAAGAAAACAGTACAACTTGACACCCCTCTTACCTAGACCACACTGAGCAAGTGTGAAAAGAAACGTGAAAAGAACCCTTCTTTCGTTTAAAAGAAAATACTTTGGTCATATTAAACGTCATAATGGATTAAGGGAAACGGTAACTAGGGCAAACCCCCAAATTAGATAGCAGATTATTTTATAACTGTCGGATGCTCAATATATACATATTTTTTAAACGACTGGATGGGTTTCTGGGATTTTCTCCTGTCAGATTCGCATCAAAATATTGGCCCTTTGAGTCACTTCTTCAATTAATCAGATGACGTCTCCATAATGAAGGTTGGCTGCAATAGATCTCCACAGGCTTGTCCTTTTTATTTATTTATTTGTAATACATTTTTAGACTCCTGCTGGTCTATCTCTTGATGTTGTCTACCCACTTGTATCGTTGTCTACCTCTTGCTCTAGACCTCCCCATCCCAGTATAGTTTATAAAAACAAGTGTTGCGTCTTTTAATGTGGCAAAAATAGTGCAACTATCTTCTTCTTCTTCTTCTTTTAATAATTGCTACCTTTAGAGTGTTACGCGATGAAGTCCCAATCTCTTCCCACAATGGTCCCCAACCCGCTTCATGTGTGCCACACACTCTGACATTTCGCGTTACATGCCGTTGATCTTTATAGTTTTTACGGCCTTTTTCACCTACCTAATCCTTGTGTACTAGGGATGATACTTCCTTTAAAGTAGAATGTTATTCCAACTTCAGCCGGCTCTCTAGCGAAGTTGGTTAAACCTGACTTTCGCGGCGGCCGGGTGACGAACTCCTTGCGGTCCGGGTTCACTCCCGGGGTAGGCAGAAAAGCCACATTTCTCCCAGATTAACGGTACCTATAATGGAATCAATGCCGAAGGGTTGCGATATCCATAGTACCGAGCCAAAGGGTTTACAACTCATGGTTTCTGGATAGGTAAAAAAAAAAAAGCCATCGGCTAAGGCTGGGCAAACACGGTGGCGACCTTAAACGCACAATCCTTTTTGTGACCCAGACGGGACTCACTGTTCAGCATGACTGATGTCGAACGCAGAAGAAGAAGAAGGGGAAACACTAATAGACCCACTACCCCCCCCCCCCCCCCCCAACAAGTATGAAGTAGGATTCGACTAATTGGTTGCATCCTTCTAAGTCTAAGTGCATCTGCCTGAGAGGCAAGGAACAAACTCTCTGCATACAAATAAGCCAATTTTGTACACCGGATTTGCACAAATACTCATGTTTTGGAACAAGTCCGAGTGTGGACGAACAACCAGTACTTTCCTCATGAAGAAGAAGAAGAAGGATGACAATGACAAGAAGAAGAAGAAGAAGAAGAAGAAGAAGAAGAAGAAGAAGAAGAAGCCAAGAAAACCTGGCCAGCCGTCTGCTAGGGTTAAACCCCCTTGTTTACAATTGACCAGAAAACACGTTTCTCGAATCTCGTGGGCCACTAACCGCAGACAGTTCAACATGGTCCCTTAGTTTCAATGTAAGCCGTATTGCAGGGACCACCTACACTATTTCTTAATTCTGTCATTTCCAGATATACCTATTGGTAAGAAATGTTAAATTTGTTTCTGTATTTGTAAGTTTTTGCGTTCAAATAAAATAAGTAGTTTTGAAAAAAAGAATGTCAAATGGACGGGAAAGTTGAAGTTTATATTTTATCGTTTCATCATCATCATGTTTGAGTCTACCGACTTTACCTTAAGTATATCTAGGTCTGGCCTCCCACGTTTTTAGAAGAAGTAGGTGATCACAACATAGATAGAGGTTCCCACGTTGTATAATGTATTCTACTCACTGATATTGAACTTGAACTGTGGCTTACTACTTTACTTAAGACTTAAATCGTCAATTTCGTAATTTAGTATTTACAGATCAAGATGCTTAATCATACTTGATAGTTATTGTTATGGATAATGATAAAGAGTAAATAAGGCAGCTGACGTGTTTAGTAGTGTAAATCTAGCAAATAATTGTAATATATTATATTCTTTTCTACTGTATTTTGACTGATAGTTTTCCCGGGGGTGGGGGAGGGGGCGGGGTTCTATATGTGAATGAATGGTTCATGTTTTGTTACAGTCTGGGATTAAAGCAGTTAACTTCGCTGTTAAAACAGTAGTATTGGAATAACAAACACAAATAAGTTTTATTAGGTTAACATAAATAAGTTAAGTAAAGGATTTATTTCCCGACTTTAAGGCATATTGATTGTGTATGATGAATGATGCCAGCTACAAATGTTGAAATGTTTATGTAGACCAGTCTTAGTCAGTCTATACATCCTGATGAAAAGTGGCATCAGTATAGAGGTGACCATCTTCCAGTATCTATTTTTTTTAGACGGAACACAACCTCATATGTATTATACTGCACCCCCCCCCCCCCCCCAAAAAAAAGGGTCCCTGTTACACACACTGGGAAGGGTTTTAAGTCTATAAAGGGCTTTCCTCCGAACTTCTACCCCATATTATGGCGGCCAAACAAATACTCTAACAGGGCCTCATTCGTATGTAAAATGCAGACTTCCTGCAACGAACACATCTTTTCAAAACTAGGATTACTTGACATTTCAAGAGATGCAGCACTGCAGACGTTAGTAGCAGACGATAATAGCGACCACTGCAGACGTTAGTAGCAGACGATAATAGCGACCTTTGACAATTATGAGCGTTTCTGCAGGCGATACTAGCGACCATTGACAATTTCGAGACAGTCAACATTACAGACGATAATAGCAACATGGCAGGGAGACCTGGGCAATGACAACAGCTCACAGAAGCCAGCTGCAGGCCTCGGAAATGAGATATCTGAGTAAGATGGTCCAAGTGACAAGAAGGGACAAAGTCCGCAATCAGACAATACGTCAAGATCTTGATACCCAGTCCTTACAAACCCGAGTGGATCAGTCACAGTTACGATGGTTTGGACATGTATGCAGAGTGGGAGAAAATTGGACACCATGGCAGGCATGGGAGGCTAAGAACAAGGGAACCAGACCTCCAGGACGAGCCAGGGTGCGCTGGGAAGACAACATCCAACAGTCCCTAACTGACAGAGGACTGGAATGGAACAAAGCCAGAAAGAAAACTGCTGATAGAGATGTCTGGCGATCTCTCTGGCAAACCTCTACACCCCAAGGTAGAGCGACTAAGTAAGTAAGGCAGGGAGACCATGCGCTCTGACGTAGATTAGCATCGTTGTTGTCCTCACACTTTTTGGCATGCGCAAAACACGGTTAAACTTAACGCCGACAGTATCCCCAGCGCCGCTACACGAGGTGCGGATGGGGATCTAAACTAGATGCCTGGGAGTCACGAGCAAATAAAGTTGCAGAAAATGCGGTAGCTGCTGCTTGTGAGTCCCAGCCATCTAGTTTAGCCCCTCATCCTCGCCGAGCGTAGCGGCGCGTGGGATACCGTCGGCGGTACGGCATAGTCACAGAAACAGGTCCGCAATTAACATATAGCTGAGACCCTGTTAGAGCATTTGTTTCGTTATTCGGAGCCGATCCTAGTTTTGCAGCTATTTGTTCCTCGACAGGAAGTACACATTTTGCATAGGCCCTGTTACTGAGGCCCTGTTAGGAAATTTCTTTGGTCGCCATAATATGGGGTAGAAGTTCAGAGGAGAGCCCTAAAAATTGTTACCAGAAAATAATCTGAGGACAAGCAATGCTTCTGAATGGTTAACACCCATGCCTTATCAAAATAAAACTTACAGGGGTTCATTATTAACTGTAAATAGTTTATGAAACTTTGTTTTTTTCTTCTTCTTATTAGGTAAAACTAGGCGGTTGATTTTACGAAGGAAAATATCAGAATGGAGCCTCCCATGGAGCTTCTAGAGGCAGAAGCAGGCATGTTATTAAAGTCTAGATCAACAGTTACTGATGCTATCATTGATCTCGCTGGAGGAACATTAGGTGAGCTTCTCCAACTTTATGACTGTTAACTGCTAGGTAGGTTGATTAATCCTCTGGAAGACTTTAATTTTTAGCTATTTTGTTCATTTCAGCTCATGGGGAAACAATCAAGCAATGGACAAACTACAATCTAAGAGGTACACAATCAAGACGAAAAACATAGTCTCAGAAATTCATTGCAGATCAGTTTCACTGTGAAGATGGTACTTGATTGATTGAAATTAGGGCTGTACCGAATATTCGCTTCGGGGCCGAATAGTAGACCTATTGACTATTGGGTATTCGGCCGAATAGTTGTGGTCGGGCCGAATACGAATAGTAGTTACCTTACACCCGCTTTTGCATACACAGCTTAATGCTGACAACATGGAACGATTGGTTTTGTTGAAAGCTAATGCAACTTTCCTGCATTAACTAAGCTGTCAGTGACAATTTCCAAGTTTAGTTGTTATAATACTTAGGATTCTTTCATTCCTAGTTATTAGTTACCACAGACTGACTGCAGGATGCAAAACATAAAATGTTTTTAAATGTTTACTATTCTGTACGAATACTAACTAGACGTGAAAAGAATAAAAACTCCAGCCACATCCAAGTTGGTAATATGAAAATCAAACGAATGGAAACATATAAGTACTTGGGTGCAAACTTCAACTGCTCCAACATGCTGAGAGAAGAAATACAATCTAGAAATAAAGTATACTATGCCCTTCAACATCTGCTAAAGTCAAAGTGTCTGTCTCGCAACACCAAGATCAAAATACATAAAACGCTGATAAGACAGGCATCAGTTTCATTTTTGTGCTGTGACACTCTGGGATAAGAGGGATAACCCAGCTGGCAGGTCATAGGAAAAGTGGTGATCGGGCTGATTTTTTCAATGCTTTCGCTGAGGCAGGATGAGTAGATAACTCAGGAGATGATGGTAAATTGGATAGGACACACATTGAGTAAACCAGAGAACAGCATAACTAGAATGTCTTTTCATTGGAACCTACAGGGGCATAGGAATAAAGAAAGGCAAAAAACACATGGAGAAGAAAGCTGGAAAAGGAAGTTAGAAAGATAGGGAGGACATGGGAAGAGCTGCATCTGATAGCGAAAGATAGAACTACCTGGCGTGAGTTGGTTGAGGACCTATGCTCCATTGGGGGCTAGAAAGGTGGGGAAAAAAAAAGAAGATGGTAAATTGGCAACCTTGACAAAACTACAAGAACTTCAGGTCAAAAGAGGTGTTGCCAGACTTTCACATTTTGTAAGCAGCCAAAGAAATACAGTAAACCAACTGAGGTCACACACTGAAGGAGATAGGGAAGATAGAATGCTAACACTTGTTGACTTCTGCAGTAAGGACGATCAGTCAACTGATGCAGTGAGGGAGGGGGGGGGGGGGGGGGGGGGTACCATGATTTAGTGGTCAAGCTATTTGTCTCGTGCTCTGAAGGTTGTGGGTTCATTTCACAGCTGCACCTTTCAGTTAACGAGTGCAATTTTTAATGTGATCCGTGGGATAGTCGCTGGAGCTATGGTGTTCGTTCTCTCGGCAGGCAGCTACAATTCTGCGGAGAGATAGCGACCCATTTTAGATAAGACCCTGTGCAATAAAGTTAATCCTCGACTTTTAACTTTATAGAGGCAATCTACCAAACTGATTGTCAAGTATCAAAGTATCATACATGGGTTCTAGAAAGCTGAGTTTGCCTACATGTCTCTGAGATCAGGAACCAGCAATTCCTGGAATGATACCAGTTCAAACGAACTACTAGACAGCTGCACATCATCACAAATGAAAAGTGAACGTTGTGGCTAGAGAGCCTTCATCAGCACATTGCATGAATAGACAGTGCTATGAACAAAATTACACAAGATCATTGAACTGAAGAATCTTCTAAGAGAATTGCAGGAGTCTGTCTGGGCAGCAGTCCTGGAACTTCATATCAGCATATCCCCCTATAAGTTCTGGGGCCCCATTATGGGGGAAACAAGAATAGACCCACTGTCTGCCCAAAAGCATGTAGTAAGAGTCGACTAATTGTGAGCTTCCTTCGAAGTCAAAGTACATCTGCCTGGGAGGCAAGGAAACAGCAGTCTGCATGCAAAAATGTCAGATATGTAAAATGTATGTGCACGCAACACTCAGGTTTTGGATCAAGTCTAAAGTCCAGAGGTGGCTGAACAACCAGAACTTTCTGCCAGAGTTTACAGCCGGTGAACGGCAAGAAGACAAAGGAAGATATCAGCATGAAGGCATATTAGGTTGAAACTGCCCCAGTAGCATGACCGAAAGAGACAAAATGTGGCTAACTTGATTTATACCAACATATTGTTTCTTATAATAAAAATAATATAACAATAACATTAAGGCAGAAAGGAGATGAAGTTTTAATTGTGAGAGTTACTTTGACCCCCTCCTCCATACTTTCCTTGTTATACTTGCAATACATTTCTTGCTTAGTTCAGAGAATGAATGCTAAACTTGTTCTTGTCTTCAGTTCCTGGATTACACCAACAGACAAATTCTAATCGACATGTCACATGATAATGGATGCTACTTTTTCATTACTCTTTCATCCCTTTTTTTTTCTCTGCTAAAACATTAATCTATTCTGTAACAATTGTTCCACCCTATTGCTGGCAACTGTTTTAAGTTATTAATACTTTTCTTCTTTCTTCTCCTTTTTTTTGTGTGTGTTCTTCTGCTGTCAACTCTGGTGGAAAGATCTGGTTGTTTGTCCACTTCTGGAATTTGATCTTGAATTAGACCTTGAAGTTTTGCATGCACCTCTGACAGATCTGGCTTCTTTGTAATCGAGACTGTTGGTTCCTTACCTCTCAGGCAAATGCCCCCTAGATTTGGAGGAAACGTCCCTAATTAGTTGCCTCCTGGGAGGATTGTTCTTTTTTCTTCCACATTAGGGCCTCGGGACACTTAAGGGGACATTAATCCTTAAAGATGGTTCCGCTTGTGCACACAGACTTTGAGATAGGTGTTAAAGAAGAATATAATGAGTCAGTGTTCTCACTATTAGCAATTTACATTTTCTGTGTAAAACATTTTACCTTCATATTTTCAATATAAGACATTTTACCTTTATTTTTTCAATGCTAACTGCTTATTTTTTTTAGTGATAACTTTATATTCTTGTCTACCCAGGGGTGTAAAAGTTTCCCAGACAGATTGCCAGGCTTCTCTGTCAGCAGTTTCTTTTTGACTTTATTTTGTCAGGAAGTATAGGATGTTGTCTTCCCTGTGAACTATGGGTCACCCTTATGGTCTGGGTCTTAGCCTGCCATGGTGGCCGATTTTCTCCCCTTCTGCATACATGCCCAAACCATTGTAACTGACTGATCCACTCAAGTGTTTTAGCCTGTGTTTCAAGATCCTGACGTATTATCCAGTTGCGAACTTTGTGCGTCTTCTCACTTGGACTGCTTTTCTCAAATATCTCATCTGTGAGGCGTGAAGCTGCTCATTATTAATTTTGCTCCTGGGGGGCTGTGTGGTCTCAAGCTATGGTGTCTGCCTCGAGTGCTAGAGGTTCCGGGTTCAATCTCCGGTAAGGGCTGGGATTTTTTTCACATTGTACTTTGACCTAGTAATTCCCCCTGGTCTCTGGGTAGTGAGATCGGAGGCCCGCGTGCATTGTTGCGCACGTACAAGAAAATCCCTTGGCAGTTGGGAATTGAAAATCTGCCTGGGAGGCAAGGAAACAGCAGTCTGCATGCAAATAAGTCATATATGTAAAATGTATGTGCACGCAACACTCAGGTTTTGGAACAAGTCTAAAGTCCAGAGGTGGCTGAACAACCAGAACTTTCTGCCAGAGTTTACAGCCGGTGAACGGCAAGAAGACAAAGGAAGATATCAGCATGAAGGCATATTAGGTTGAAACTGCCCCAGTAGCATGACCGAAAGAGACAAAATGTGGCTAACTTGATTTATACCAACATATTGTTTCTTATAATAAAAATAATATAACAATAACATTAAGGCAGAAAGGAGATGAAGTTTTAATTGTGAGAGTTACTTTGACCCCCTCCTCCATACTTTCCTTGTTATACTTGCAATACATTTCTTGCTTAGTTCAGAGAATGAATGCTAAACTTGTTCTTGTCTTCAGTTCCTGGATTACACCAACAGACAAATTCTAATCGACATGTCACATGATAATGGATGCTACTTTTCATTACTCTTTCATCCCTTTTTTTTTCTGCTAAAACATTAATCTATTCTGTAACAATTGTTCCACCCTATTGCTGGCAACTGTTTTAAGTTATTAATACTTTTCTTCTTTCTTCTCCTTTTTTTTGTGTGTGTTCTTCTGCTGTCAACTCTGGTGGAAAGATCTGGTTGTTTGTCCACTTCTGGAATTTGATCTTGAATTAGACCTTGAAGTTTTGCATGCACCTCTGACAGATCTGGCTTCTTTGTAATCGAGACTGTTGGTTCCTTACCTCTCAGGCAAATGCCCCCTAGATTTGGAGGAAACGTCCCTAATTAGTTGCCTCCTGGGAGGATTGTTCTTTTTTCTTCCACATTAGGGCCTCGGGACACTTAAGGGGACATTAATCCTTAAAGATGGTTCCGCTTGTGCACACAGACTTTGAGATAGGTGTTAAAGAAGAATATAATGAGTCAGTGTTCTCACTATTAGCAATTTACATTTTCTGTGTAAAACATTTTACCTTCATATTTTCAATATAAGACATTTTTACCTTTATTTTTTCAATGCTAACTGCTTATTTTTTTTAGTGATAACTTTATATTCTTGTCTACCCAGGGGTGTAAAAGTTTCCCAGACAGATTGCCAGGCTTCTCTGTCAGCAGTTTCTTTTTGACTTTATTTTGTCAGGAAGTATAGGATGTTGTCTTCCCTGTGAACTATGGGTCACCCTTATGGTCTGGGTCTTAGCCTGCCATGGTGGCCGATTTTCTCCCCTTCTGCATACATGCCCAAACCATTGTAACTGACTGATCCACTCAAGTGTTTTAGCCTGTGTTTCAAGATCCTGACGTATTATCCAGTTGCGAACTTTGTGCGTCTTCTCACTTGGACTGCTTTTCTCAAATATCTCATCTGTGAGGCGTGAAGCTGCTCATTATTAATTTTGCTCCTGGGGGGCTGTGTGGTCTCAAGCTATGGTGTCTGCCTCGAGTGCTAGATGTTCCGGGTTCAATCTCAGGTAAGGGCTGGGATTTTTTTCACATTGTACTTTGACCTAGTAATTCCCCCTGGTCTCTGGGTAGTGAGATCGGAGGCCCGCGTGCATTGTTGCGCACGTACAAGAAAATCCCTTGGCAGTTGGGAATTGAAAAGAGTAGCCTAACGCCACTGCCTGGGCAAACATTTTGAGTTGAAAATCTACTTAAAGTATTTCAGGATCCTCGCCGATGCTACAGAGCTTGTGCACTGTGCTGAGATTTTTTGGAATTGGCTTGAGTTAGAAGAACGGAGCACTTATGGGTTACTACCTGTATGCCATGATGTTGATCCGTTGTTCAAAACCTCAAACTTAACTTTGCTCCTTGAATACTACAGGTGGTATCACCAGTGTCTATGTTGGACAGCCATTGGACACCGTCAAAGTGAAGATGCAGACATTTCCAACATTGTACACAAATGGACTTAATTGCTTCATGCAGACTTTCAGACAGGACGGTATTGCACGAGGTCTTTATGCCGGAACATTGCCCTCTTTGGCTGCCAATGTCTCGGAGAATGCCGTTTTATTCTGTTTTTATGGTGTATGCCAGAAGCTGGTAAGTTCTAGCATTCAGAAATATTTTATATTTGTCTTAACTGAGATGCCCAGTTTTCTTTGGCATACCAAGCATCTGTATCATTATCATGTTAAAGGGCCCCCCCCCCCCCTTTTCTTCATGGCATTGGATATATGGTCCTAGGCCTTTTTATTCCAGTCAGAACTTGATGGAGAAGGTGGGGGTGTTGAGTGAGAATACAATGTTGTGACAGCGGGACAGCTGTAAAGGAAGAAAGAGTAGAAAAGCAAGGGTTAAAGAGATTGTGCAGCTCTGTGGCTTAGAGGTTAGCGGATGAGGGTTAACAATTCTGTGATCCTTGAGTACTAGGGTTCGTTTGCCCCCGGAAAACAGTTCTTAAAATAGACATTTCTCGTTTTCAGACAGTGATGCAGGAATCACCTATGGAATAGATTAGGGCCCAACCACTTCATATTTCCAGAGAGAACAGCGGTACACTCTTTTTCATGTTCACCAGCTGTAAACTCCGACCAAAAGTTTTCTTTGTTCGTCCACCTCCAGACTTGCCCCAGAACCAGAGTTTTACGTGCACATCCATTTTACAGATCTGACTTGTTTGTTTACAGTTTGTTGGTTCCTTGCCTCTCAGGCAGATGCACTCCGACTTCGAATGAAACTCCCAGCTAGTCTACTCTTACGACCTGCATGTTGGGGAGGCAGAGGGTCTATTCTTACCCCCCCCCACCCCCCTCCAGTGGGACCCCTAGAACCCACATGGTGATAGTGGTACACTCTAGCCAACCTTAATTGTGGAGACAGCACAGACATAAAGAGGGGAAATGTCAGATAGTTTAACATCATGTTATAGAATATCTGTATCAGAAATGATCAATGGTTCTTAAATAATGCACACACAGACAGTACATTGTACAGTATATTGCCATGCATGTTTCGCTGTATCACGTGAGTTGAGTCACTACAGAGTTACCTCAACATAGAATGGAGCGCAAAAAGCTGAAGAAATTCTACTGAAATTGAAATAATGCGAACACAAACAATACATTCCACAATTTATTGCCTTGCATATTTAGCTGTCTTATCAGATGCGTCATTACAGAGATATATTGACAAACAATAAAACCACACACACACAGATAAGTAAATAATTCCCGCTGAAATGTGAATGGTATTTTTGTCCTGCAGTATGTGCTTTGTATTGTGTAGTAGAGACTACCAGAATGCTGCCGCACACCATTCACTCAAATTTATTCAGTTTGTGTGTGTGTACATCATTATATATTGAAATAACTCTGTATTACTGCACCTGACAAAATACAGCAAACTATGCCTGGCTATACATTTTGGTCAATAAATTCAAACGTCTAGGAACAATCATATCATCAGAAGCAGAATAGGTCAAGCGAAAGCTGCATTCCAGAATATGAAAAATATCTTATGCAAAAATCGCTCTCATTTTATGTCAGAAAGAGGATGCTAAAATGTTACATAGAACCTGTTTTGCTGTATAGCAGTGAATCTTGGAATGTCAATGAACAAATTAGGAAGAATTTGGAGGTAACAGATATGTGGTTTCGCAGATGTAATTATGTGTTACGTAACCTTTAATATTAACTGTTCATCTCTAAGTAAAAATAATTGTAGTGTCTGATTGTAACCTTTATTATTGACTGTTTACCTAATTTATTTTGTGTTTGTTTGATTGCACAGGTAGCTAAAGTTGTTGGTGGTAAAGAGGTGAAATCATTGAATCCCCTGGAGAATGCAGTGTCTGGAGGAATGGCTGCATTTTTTTCATCGTTCGCCTTGTGTCCCACAGAGCTGATCAAATGCAGGCTTCAGGCAATGAGGGAGATGGCCACCAAGGGACAGGTGGAGGGTGGACTAGACAGGCTTAAAATGTAATACTCTGCAGTATAATGATATGCTTATTTGTTCGGTAGTGTCTGCTTTTTATTGTCTAGTAGAGACAACCAGGGACTTCAGTGGTGTTATGGCTAGCTGCAGGCCCAAAGGTTTAGGGTTGAAAGAAGCGCAAAGGTGGATATTCAGAATGTTCTGTATACCAGTCAACTCTGGTCATTCAGAATATTTTATGTACCAGTCAGCACAGGTAATTCAGAATTTTTTTGTATGCCAGTAAACTCGGGTAATTCAGAATATGTTATATACTAGTCAGCACAGGTAATTCAGAATATTTTACATATCAGTTCAGCACAGGTAATTAGAATATTTTACATATCAGTCAGCACAGGTAATTCAGAATTTTTTTGTATGCCAGTAAACTCGGGTAATTCAGAATATGTTATATATTAGTCAGCACAGGTAATTCAGAATTTTTTATGTACCAGTCAGCACAGGTAATTCAGAATTTTTTTGTATGCCAGTAAACTCGGGTAATTCAGAATATGTTATATATCAGTCAGCGCAGGTAATTCAGAATTTTTTTGTATGCCAGTAAACTCGGGTAATTCAGAATATGTTATATATTAGTCAGCACAGGTAATTCAGAATATTTTATGTACCAGTCAGCACAGGTAATTCAGAATTTTTTTGTATGCCAGTAAACTTGGGTAATTCAGAATATGTTATATATTAGTCAGCACAGGTAATTCAGAATATTTTACATATCAGTTCAGCACTGGTAATTCAGAATATTTTACATATCAGTTCAGCACAGGTAATTCAGAATATTTTACATATCAGTTCAGCACTGGTAATTCAGAATATTTTACTTATCAGTTCAGCACTGGTAATTCAGAATATTTTACATATCAGTTCAGCACAGGTAATTCAGAATATTTTACTTATCAGTTCAGCACTGGTAATTCAGAATATTTTACTTATCAGTTCAGCACTGGTAATTCAGAATATTTTACTTATCAGTTCAGCACTGGTAATTCAGAATATTCTGCATGACTTGACTGTGAGTTTGTTGAGAAATGGCTCTCACGAATCTGTGACCTGAAATCAGTATAACTAGAAAGGCTTTACATCGGAACCCACAGTAGCATAGAAGTAGGGGTAGACCAAAAAACTCACACGTGGAGAAGGGAGCTGTAGAGTGAAGCTAAAGCTGTAGAGATGACATGGGGTGAGCTACACGCAACAGCAAAGGATAAGGTCGCTTGGTGTGAGTTGGTTGAGGGGGCCTATGCTCTGTGTGGGGGGAGGGGATCAAGGGCAGAATAAGAAGAATCTGCATTGCTTTAGTACGTGATTATTGAGACATGCATCACAAATCTGTGTTTTTGCAAATGGCACGAATATGACGTGTTTTTGCAAATGTATTGTTAATGTTTTCTATTTTCTGTTTTTTATCTTTTGTTTAGTGGTCCATTTGGCCTGACAAAGGAAATTTTACAAAGGGAAGGTTTTCGGGGGCTTTTTAAAGGTCTGACAGCCACATTTATGAGAGAAATGCCCGGCTACTTTTGCTTTTTTGGCGGGTATGAAGTCAGCAGGCACTTGTTGACCCCTCCTGGAAAGACCAAAGATGAAATAGGTGAGTGTTTATCCCTTCTCATCTTTCTCTCTCTCTCTCTCTGTCTCTTTCCTCCTCCCTCACACCCTACATGTTTTTTGCCTGTCTATTTATGAGGTCTGCCTTTATTTCTGTCATCTGTGGCTTAGGCGTTGCAAGCATGCTTTGAGGTGCTGGGTTTGAGCCCAGCTGCAGACGATTTGGCAACAGATCATCTTGCATTGGTTTCAAGAGGGGCTGACTGTTCAGAAGCAGTGGCAAATTGAACGGAAATTTCCCTAGAATAACCACAACAGCCAGACAAATTTCTGTGATTTGTTCTGCAACGTCCTGTAAAGGACACACAGCTAACTTGTGGCATACACAAGCATTCAATGCACAAGGCAGCTGTCAGAAGTGTCAACATAGGCGGTCTGGCACTAGATGCAATTCATCAATGAAAGCAGAAGTGACAACAGATAAGTAGTTGCATGTGCAATTAAAAGCTTATGGCACCACCAGTTCTCTGGCAAAAGACTGCTCGACATATGCTGAATCTACAGTTAACAACACATAATATGTGTGTTTTTGGATGTGTCCTTCTGTCTCTACTTCTTGCTTCTGCATCAGTGAGTTTCATATTTCATTAAGAATCGGTATCACAGCACTTGGGATATTCGTATAAGTGCTCTTTCCCTATCTTCAGCAGCAAGTGCGAAGTTTCAATTCCACTGGTACTAGTAACAGCCTCATTGTTTATACGTCTCATCGGACACCGGAGTGTCGATCGGCAGCCAGGTGCCCTGGTCACTCCTCACAGCATCATTTTCCTCAGACCATGACTGTCTGTGCCTCGGCACTGTTTACTCGCCCCCAGAGGGTCTTTACAACCTCTATCTTGTCATCTTTCAGGTCACCACCAAATTGTGCAAAACCAACCAGTCTTTCTGTCGGTTAATTTCTCAAAACACTGGCATATCCTTGAGAAAATATCCGAAGTACCCTAACTGCTTTTGACCTCTGAAGTGATGCTTGCCACTGATCATGGAAAATGCTGGTCTCCCCCTTGCTCAACATCGGTTACATCATTGAGTCCCCATCATATTGCAGTTTATTTATTATACTGTATCAATATCTATAAACGCTTGTATAAAATTGGCTCGGTCTACACTAGCATGGTTTGTTGATTATGCTATATCAGTAAATATGATTGCATGTAATAAAATTGGCTGTCTCTACACTAGGACCAGCAAGAACAATTATATGTGGTGGCTTTGGTGGGGTGGCACTGTGGGTGTCCATTTTCCCTGCCGATGTTGTCAAGTCTAGGATTCAGGTGCAGTCAGTGTCAGGCGTCACTCCAACATTCAGAGCAATGTTCTTGAAGATTTTACGACAAGAAGGTGGGATATTTTTTTTTTCTTTGTTTTGTTTTTGTCACTTGTGTTTTGTTTACAGAACTTTGATTTTGGTGCACTTCGAACAAACTTTTAAATGTTCATTCTTGCTCAGCAAATGCAGTAGGTTGAATGGCTTGAATAAAGCATGTACATATATATTGTGGCATATTTGGAAACTTGGGTTCAAACTTACAATAAGAAAGAGACAAACACTGTTCTTTGGCCACATGACAAGTGAGACTTTGGAGTACATCGTGACAACTGGAAAGATTAGTGGGAAAAGGGGTAGAGGCAGACTAAGAGAGATTATGCTGGATGGGCTGAAACGATGGCATGGAGGGATATTATCAAGAGAGCTGTTCCAGGCAACCAGGGATTATGATCTGTGGAGATGCATGAGTGCCTACGCCAGTTGGCAGGGCACATGATAATGAAGTAAACTTAAAAATAAAGGAGTGTTTTGAAGATGCACAGCTTACTTTACTGTTGTCTTGTCTTGTCCACAATTGCCTCACAGCGTAGTGGGGAGTCGCAGTTTTCTATCCTGGGCCAGGTGTGTTGCACGTGTTGTTGTTAGTCCGTGTTGCCTCAGGATCTCTGATATATTGTCTATCCATCGTACTCTCAGTCTGCCTCTTGCTCTAGGGCAGTAGTGCTGTTCGTTGTATGCTCCTAGAGCCAGTTGGTCGGTTTGCATTCGCATCAAGTGGCCAAACCACTCTATTTGTTGCTTCTTTATGTATTGCAGGCATGGTGTGGTTCCTACAATTGCTCTAATGTTCTTGTTTACTTTACTGTTACAATTGGAAAAAAAAACTGCTGAATTGAAGGTGAAGATCAACTGTTTTTATGTAAATATCCTGAGTGCTGTAATGTTAGTTTTTAACTCTTGTCTTCTCCTTGTGGGTTCTGGAGCCCCATTATGGGGAGGGATAGACTTACTGACTCCCTAACGAGCATGTCATAAAAGCCGACTAAGGGCTTGCTTCATACAAATAAACAACATCTCTGAAATTGATGTGCCTGAATCTCTGGAACAAGATGAAAGTCCAGAAGTGGACGACAAGCATTTATTTTCCACCGTAGTTTACAGCTGGTGAACGCAAAAAAAGAACTCTTCTGCCTCGTACTCTAGCAGACAATTCACAGTGTTGACTAGACTGTGTGGAGTTTTACAAAACAAGATAGAACTGTTATACTCTCCGTAGATCAGCAACTATTGGCCTGAGAGTCTTGGGTTCAGATGTTCATTAGGGCGGATGTTTATAATTTATCTAGCCTTCCTAGGCCAACCCAGTCTTAATTCGAGAAACACAAAAATTCCTGGAAAGTAAAGGCAGCTGGCTTGATGTTGACCACATCACCCCTCGAGTGCGGGGTTGCCTGAAAAATATTGGTCTTTCACATGTCCAACGCACCAGAGATGTAATAAATGTCCTTTACTTTTTTATGTATACCTAACCCATGTCGCCACGGGAAACTGGCATGTCTGCAGTGATCTATTTCTGAGACCCGGATATTAATATTTATTTAATAGAAAAATAGCATTTATGTGGATTTTTGTGTGAACTAGGGCTTTATAATGCTATTTCAACATCACATTTTCCTGTAGCCTCATCGATGGAGGTCATGGAGTCCCATATGTTTCACAGTAGGAGTCACCCGATAACATGTTTTTATGGTCTTGGAAAACGTGTTCTGTCAGCATGAGTCACCTGATAACATTTGTTAAAGACTTAGAAAACGTGTTCTGTCAGCATGAGTCATCCAATAACATGTTTTTATAGTCTTAAAAAATGTTCTGTTTAATGCTTTACCTTTGTTGATGTTTATTGGTTTCTCCCTGTCTTTAAATATTTTTATATATTTCTGGGGAAATTTACAAATGTAGATAAATTGTTGAAAAAGTTACTGACCTGTATTAAATTATTAATTTTATAATCTTATTAAGGATTTGGGGGGGGGGGGGTAATTCCCATGGGTTCACAACCCATTTTCTTTTAGTATTCTGGAGGTGAAAGGGTTAAAGAAAAACATAATTTTTTCCACTTGTTGTTTCTGCAGGTGTGAGAGCACTGTATGCAGGATTGGGACCAACAGTTATCAGAACATTCCCAGCGACGGGGGCTTTGTTTTTAGCCTACGAGACAACCAAGAAGTACCTAGGAAGATTTCATGACTACCTCAGCGAAGCCCGTTACTGAAGTAACCTTTGACCTAGAAATCATAGCAGGATTTTTATTTGACTGTACTTTCCTGCGTCTACCCCAAGCATTTCCCCATATGTGATCATCCATTGTCTGTGTAAGTCAAACAACACATGGTGTGTTGTAATATCTTCTATGTTTGGTCTAAGCATACTTCGGAAATCTGGCTAAATCTTTTAACATACAGCACATTGTGTGTTTTATGTAACGGGTTTATAATAATTGCCCATTTGAAAGTGATATACTCATGCTTGTGTTCATTATGATTATTGTACCTCTTGAACATCTGCTGTGAAATCTGATGAAAAAGGTTAATGCCTTGTTCGTTTACTCAGGGAGCAGTTGTTTTGAGACATGTGATATTGTAAAGCTATTTTCTCCCTTTTGTTTTACTCACAGCCTACATTCTGTTGTAGATTGTAGGATGTGAAAAAATGAGCACCCATGTCAGTTTGCAAAGTACTGGATAATGATGTCCCATCAACAGTGATAAACACACGACAGGGTAGCAAGCATGACAGGACTATAGTCGTCAAAAAGGTGCATCTGTTGTATCAGTGGAGCAAGTATTTATGGATGTACACGGTCAGAACTTCAGTCATTGTCATGAATCTTTTTCTTCTTTGTTCAGCGTCTGCAGATTCCAGCGGAAAGTCCTGGCTATTTGGACTTTGGCTTAGTGCCAGGGCCTGAGTTTTGTGTGTACATCGTTTTACTGCCTTTTTTTTAATGCATCTAGTTGTTCCTTGCTGCTCGGGCAGATACACTCTGACTTCAAAGAAAGCTGCCAGTTAGTCTACTCTTGCGACGTGCTTATTGGAGTGGCTGTTGGTCAGTTTTTGTTTTCCCCCACAATGGGGCCTTGGAACCCACACAGGGGCCTTAGAACCCACACGGGGAGTCATGAATCACAACACACGGGCAAGATTCTAGTTCTTTCACTAGTTTCCATGCCTGGTGCACTTTTTGTGCTGACGGTATCTTTAATCTCTTTTTTTTTTTGTCCACCATCATGTTGGTCAACCCTTGCCTCTCCTTCTAGGTACCATGCCTTTCATTACTGTTCTTTCTAAAAACTGAGGAGCAGCTGGCTGAATGGTGAAGAATGCATGGCTCTCATGTGGGAGTTCTGGGTTCAATTCCTCGGTAAGGTCGTATATTTTTGTTTTCCTCTTGGTGGCAAAAATAAAATTGAACCTGCAGTCCGTGGCAACAGCTCTAGCCATGCAGCTACAAATCTTCACATTCAAGTACCTCCCTGCCTATACTGCAAAAGTGATAACTATAGCTAGTGATAACAGTTTTTCAATGTTTAACAAGTATCTTTTTGAGTGTGGTGCATCTGGTAATACTGACACATGTTTGGATAATAAAATTATATTATTTATGATAAAATATAAGTTGCTCATATGTGATAATGAGATTATGTTGTTGTTGTTTGTGGGATCGACTAACCTTTCATGTAACCTTGTGTACTTTTTTGACAAAATATATGTAAAGATAGAGCATATTGCTACAGTAATGTTGGTTGTGTACACTGCAGTATAGCTAGCTACATTGTCACACAACATGTCTTTCATTCCTGAGGTTTTTAACCCACTAACTGAAAAGATAACTTGCATCAGATATCCTTGTTATAACCCTCTAGGGTTGAACAGGCTAAAGAGTATCATTATTGTTTTTCTATATTTTGTGTGTGTGTGTCTGGTGCGTGTGGATTTGCATTTACAGGAGATAAACATTATGTATGTAGACATCAGTTTTATGAATTATGGTGACTAACTCACAGATCTGTTCACGCTTGTCGTGGCGCACGGAAATTTCATTCATAGCTTCTTCTGGGTCACAGGGGTGTCCGGGGGTCAGTTCACAGTGGTCGTGAAGTTGACCTTTTATTCATAGCTTCTCGGACTCTCAGCGGGTAACACGCTGCGACATCACGCACATCGCCGGCGGCTGTGTTGTTCCCGGAAATCATCAAGACTTAAGCGCGCCCCCTAGAGCTAGTGCGTAACCTACGTTCCTCGCCGTGACAAACGTGAACAGATCTTAACTCTCATATTCACTAATGACAGCCAGCCATATTGATTCAAGAAAACAAACAAGGAGAGAGGCCAGAGATGCTGAGCTGGATTCCATCTTTGATTTAGAGCAGTAGTTCTCAGTTTCTGGTCTGTGGACCACCCTTAGGGGTTTGCGTAGCAAATTTAAGGCGTTTGTGATATCATATACACACCCGCACCCCTTTCTCCCCCCCTCTTTCCTCAAAGCAGTGGATGAGTAAACTGTGGGATGTGTAATGGCACAGCTGGATAATGAATGTTCTTCTGTACATAAAATATGCAAATTAATATTGGTCATCATCATTAACAGTTTTGTTAATATAAGTTGCTATGACTTCCAGCTCAAATTCCTGCTTTGTGCAACCATTTCTGCATGGTATAGTTTCTGTATAAAACACACCTTTGGACTGGGATAAGATAATAGGAGAAATATTTCGCATGGACTGGCTAATAGCAAAGGCATATACAGAAACTTGTGTTTATCAAAAGTATTTTAAAATTACAATTGTTAGATAATCCGAAATGCGTGGCTAGAGCATTGTTTCTGAGAGCTGCTACACAAGTCTATTCCTTTTATATCTTCAGACTGGTGAAGCACAAACTTGCATATTCTTTCAGTTAATTTTGCATTTAAAGATAGTTTTGACACCAGGTTGCATTTGTGCAGCTTTGTGATTTTTGTGTCTTCGTACATATGCTGCAAAGGCAGCAATTCAGAAGATTAAAAGTATCT